AAGTGGCTTTTTGCCGCGTGACCCCACGTACCACCTTGATAAGCGTTCGCTTATTCCTTAAACTGAGGGTGTTTCCACCTTTGTAACATAACCGGTGCCTAAAATAAATATAAAATCAATGGTGAAAACTTACCTTTAGGTCTACCTAACTACTGGGGTATGAACTAAATCTATAGAAGAAGAAGTAGTAAAAGTTAACTGACAACTGTCATATAGCCGAAATATCAACATGCTCAATGTCAATGTCAAATAGGTTATAACCTCAATAATGCATATTTTATCTGTTGTGTTTTATTTACATATAGTGTCTGTGTAAATGTAGTAAAATGCTACAGAATAGTAAAAAATTAAGAAGCCTTTGTGGGGCACTCCAAAATATTCATTTATGTCGATCCAATTTAGTCGCTGAAAATAGTGCTAAACATGCGGTAACATTATTTCAAGTTAGAGGAAAGAAAGATGATTCTACATTATCCTCCTTATTTGTTCCTATACAAATTAAAGCAAATCCGGATGATATAAATGTAGGAGCTGAACTCACAGGTTCTTTAAATAAGGCTGATTTATTGAAGGTTTTAAATAAATTCTACCAGAATAAGGAGATAAAACAGTTGCTTATGGACAATGGATTGGACAGTAAGAGATAAGCATGTAAATTATTAATGTATCATTTATTTTTGTTAAATTTTAGATTACCTTCAGCATCAGAGCTACATAAGCTTCAGGAGATACTGTCTAGAAGCACAGACGTTACCTGTTGACTTACATGTCGTGATAAGTGATGTTTTGCAAGGAGCAGGCAATCCTACTGATATTTTCCCTTATTTCTTGAGACACGCTAAACAAATGTTTCCCCACTTAGACTGTATGGAGGATTTGCGAAAAATTTCAGACTTGAGAACTCCGGCTAACTGGTATCCTCAAGCAAGAGCAATAAATAGAAAAATAATTTTCCACGCTGGCCCAACAAATTCTGGAAAGACTTTTCATGCTTTAGAAAGGTTCATCACAGCCAAATCTGGAGTTTATTGTGGTCCTTTGAAATTATTAGCTAGCGAAGTGTTTAATAAAACGAACAGCAGGGTAAGGTAAATTTATAATTTATTTTTTGTATCACTTAAATTAGTAAAACATTTAAGCCTTTCATTGTTTATGATGTTTACGTGTTAGGGCACACCTTGCGACTTAGTAACGGGCGAAGAACGAAATTTTGCAGACCCAACTGGAAATGCATCTGGTCACGTATCGTGTACTGTCGAAATGGCTTCAGTAANTGGGTTAAATAATCTATGAATATGTAGATGAAGTGGCAGTGATTGATGAAATCCAGATGATAAAGGACCCTCAAAGGGGATGGGCTTGGACTAGGGCTTTCTTGGGCTTAATAGCTGATGAGATACATATTTGTGGTGAAGCAGGAACTATCGATTTAGTTCAACAACTCTGTTTAACCACTGGGGAGGACCTGGAGGTTCGCCATTATAAAAGACTGACAGCTTTAAAAATTGAAGACTCTGCGTTAGGTTAGTGCAGTTTAACATGTTTTTTGTCCCGGTAGTAGTTTAGGAGTTAGATGGTTTTAGGTCGAAAATGGATAATTCATTAATTTATTATCATTTCAATTAATTTATTACCTGATTATTGTTTCCATAAAGTAATTTGAAAAACTTATTTGTGCCTGTTTTTTGGTGTTCAGTAAATAAATTTATTCACCTGACCCGATTTTTTGTAAAATAATTCCTGTATTATTTAGGGAATATTTTTTTAGGTTCTCTGGACAATGTTCTGCCTGGAGACTGCATTGTATGTTTTAGTAAAAACGACATTTATTCTGTTTCGAGAGGTATCGAAGCGACTGGCAAGGAAGTAGCTGTAATCTACGGAGGTTTACCTCCAGGTACCAAGCTAGCTCAAGCCGCCAAATTCAACGATCCTGACAACAGTTGTAAAATATTAGTTGCAACAGACGCAATTGGAATGGGTTTGAATTTGTAGGGAGTAATAACTCGTTCTTTATTCGCTTCTATGTTTTCGTTCATTTTTAGGAGTATTCGTAGGATAATATTTTATTCTCTTATTAAGCCAATTATGAACGAGAAGGGTGAGAAGGAAATGGATACGATATCCGTGTCTTCGGCTTTGCAGATAGCTGGGAGAGCTGGAAGGTAAATTTTTTAAAATTAAAATGTATTTTTTTAACTAGAACTTCATAATATTCACTTTCAGATACGGCACTCAGTGGGAACAGGGATATGTAACGACATTTAAGCCAGAGGATTTGAACACCCTGAAAAATCGGTTGTCTTCTGATCCAGAGCCAATAGCACAAGCCGGGCTGCATCCCACCGCTGATCAGATTGAACTTTACGCTTATCACTTACCAAATTCAACGCTTAGTAATTTAATGGTGAGAGGAGAAGTTTATTTCGTTGTTTACTGACTATACTTGATTTTGTTCTAGGATATATTTGTTAGTCTTTCGACGGTGGACGATTCTTTGTACTTCATGTGTAACATCGAGGATTTTAAATTCCTAGCCGACATGATCCAGCACGTTCCGTTGCCTTTGCGAGCCAGATACGTGTTTTGCTGTGCGCCTATCAATAAGAAAATGCCGTTTGTCTGCACCATGTTCTTGAAAGTAAGTTGAGATACGAGGAATTAATAAATACATATTCGATTGATTTTGTAACGCAGTTTTTGTGAAACATTTTTTTAAATTTGTTTTGTTGTAGTTTGCAAGGCAGTACAGCAAAAACGAGCTAATTACTTTTGACTGGTTGTGCAGAAACATAGGGTGGCCTTTGCAGCCCCCAAAAACCATAATCGACTTGGTTCATTTAGAAGCCGTGTTTGACGTTTTGGATTTATACTTGTGGTTGAGGTAAGAAAATTTTTTTAGTCAGTTATATTGGTATACAGGGTGTTTTCTAAGTTAATGTCAATGTTATACCGGGTGTCCCATTTAAAAAAATACACGTGAATATCTCTTAAGGGCTTAATGAAAAAAAATTTTCAAATAAAAGTTGTAGGGTTTTGAGGGGGACATCTAATTGACCATGACCTTCAAGGTCATTTCAAGGTCAAGTTGATTTTTTCAAAAGGAAACATATTTTTGACACCGGAAATGAAGAGAACAGAAAATTTTACATCCGACGAAGACCTTGACCATGACCTTCAAGGGCATTTGAAGGTCAGTTGAAGGTCATTTTAGTTTTTTGTTGCAAAATTCATTTCCGTCTTGCCGAATAGTGTACTTGGGGGTTTTCGAGGGCGCTGATCGCGAATATGAAGTCAGAATTTGAAAATATTCAAATCCAATATGGTAGACATTTTTAATATTCATATGGATTAACACTTTGAAAATGCTTCAACTTACGTTAGAACTCAAGGTCGAGCCGAGTATTCGACATATTGGATCCGC